GGTAGACAAAAGGGAACTGGGATTTGTCATCCATAGCCTGAGCATTGAAGCCGTAACTGATCTAGTGAGGAAAGGAAGAGATTCGTGCTTTGCTTTGGTCTCAGGATAAGAACCAGACATTTATTAACCTGAAATGATTAGTATTGGTCTGAAACATCAAGGGGTGGGATGCCAGGTGGGCAGAGACTGGGTTTGGGAGCCCTGGATCCAATCTGCAGCATTTTAACTTAGTTTTGGATGTCCTGCCTTGATTTCCCTGGAGAGAAAGTGGAATTTCATGCCTATGAATTTCTATTCTGTCCCTCCCTGCTGCCCCTTCACACCTGTGGTACTTTGTAGATGCTTGACATGATGGAAATGTGTTTGGAAATCACAGAATTGGCCCCTTCAAGAACAGCCAGCAGGTTATCATTCCCTTTTCCACAGGTGTAGTTTGGGATGTTGCTTTCCCCACCCGAAAGCAGGTTTAGCATGGCATCGGACGTTATCATTGCATTGAATAAGCTCTCATAGAGGTTGTAGCCCAGGGTGATGTTGGGTAAGAGCCTGGGGTCCCTGTTGATCTCCTGGATGGTGAACAAGAAGGACAAGATGTGCCAGTACAGCCTACCTGAGAAACTGCAATAAATAAATACTTTTTAAAAAATGTGAGAAGGGAAAGAAACACGCAGCCTTCAAAAAACAGGAGTGAATTAAGACATACATTTTTTAAGGATTCATGAAATACAGGGACAAGAAAGAGCCACCTTAGTGGCAGCCACACCCTAAGCAAGGGGGCTTTTACTTTGGTGGAAATAACTCAGGAATCCCCCAGTTATCCCCTTGTATCTGATTCTACCTAGATTAGGAGTTGCTTCGGGGTTCATGACATCCCCAATGGTTCTTCACAAGGCCAGGAAGGAGAGAGTTTTTCCAAGGATGATCGCAGCAGGCCAGGGGACTAAGAAACTGAGGATATCCCTGGTAATTAGGAGCATCTAGAGTAAGGTTACCAGACCTCCCCATTTCCCGGGGACAGTCCCCGGATTTACACATCAGTCCCCATACAAAATCCATTGATGTTGAAAAGTGTCCCAGATTCATTGAAAAAAATCTGGTGACCTTAATCTAGAGTGCAGTTGAGGAAGCACCAAAACCATCAAAACAACTTTACTTATGAATGAAGCCTAGTGGGTTGAAGTTGTTGTTTTGTGGTTGGTTGTTGTTCAAAAAACTGAATAGTTATGTCTCAAATTTTGGAGATATGACACTGGTAATGAGGAGGTGGCGCTGTGGGTAAAAGCCTCAGCGCCTAGGGCTTGCCAATTGAAAGGTTGGCGGTTCGAATCCCCACGGCGGGGTGCGCTCCCGTTGCTTGGTCCCAGCGCCTGCCAACTTAGCAGTTCAAAAGCACCTCTGAGTGCAAGTAGATAAATAGGGACCGCTTACTAGCGGGAAGGTAAACAACGTTTCCGTGTGCTGCGCTGGCTTGCCAGATGCAGCTTTGTCACGCTGGCCACGTGACCCGGAAGTGTCTCCGGACAGCGCTGGCCCCTGGCCTCTTGAGTGAGATGGGCGCACAACCCCAGAGTCTGTCAAGACTGGCCCGTACGGGCAGGGGTACCTTTACCTTTTTAATGAGGAGGTCCCATGACTTCCTGGCTTGATTTTTAAAAAATAAATTATTGTTCATTTTGGCACTTCTGCCAAAAATGTCTCCCAGAGCAGGTTTAAAATGTCACTGTTATGAGGGCTTATCGCCGAAAAATACACAACACAAAAGCAAAAGGTCTCAGGAGGCAGGATGGAAAACTAGGAGGGGTTTTTGCATGAGTTGCTTGGCCAGGAAGAAACCTGTGTGCGCACACACACACACACACACACACAGAGAGAGAGAGAGAGAGAGAGAGAGAGAGAAGTTCTGACATCTGTTTGCCTGTAGGAAATTGTATGACTTGGGTGCTACCCTCGACTCAATGCATCATTTTGCTGAAGAGATTTACTTACATCCTTCAACAGGCAACACTGCATCATAGCAGCTAGAACATCTTCCCAGGGATGACAAAGGGAACTAGAAAATAGGACAGGTATCTTCGGAACCTGTGCCCCCACTGCAATTGTTGCTGGTCTCCCATAAGCCCCCAGCCAGCATGGCCAATGGCCCAGGATGACAGCCCAGCAACATTTGGGTGGTCCTCAGCCTTGATCCAGGGACAATTTCTGTTGTAAATTGGAGACGCATAACTTCCATCAGCACATAATGACTTACCGGTCAAAGCTGGTTACTGGGAGCCGAGAAAAGTCGTATAAGTTTTGCTTAAAAGGATATTGTGGAGATATGATCCCGCTAATGAGGAAGTCTCCAGGCCGGTAGTAACTCCAAGCTTCTTCTTCTATGGTCAGATTCAAGGGGCATTTTGCCTTCAGGTTCCCACACACTCCATGGGGTATCAATAGCAGAACCAGCAGAACCAGCAAGGGTACCATCCTGGCTCTGCCTCCTGCACCTGTCTCTCCTCCAGAGCCAAGCTAATCAGAAGATGGCGAGAACTCTTGCAAGGCCAAACTCACAGCGGCTTCACCCCTACGGGAGCATTCAGCTTCAAGCAGACACATCCCTCCCTTTCACCTGCTCTGTGTCTCCTCAGTTTTTGTCTCACACAGGAGATATGTTGTGCACCCACTCCCCCCCTCCCCCTGGAAGAACGCAATGGATAACCTCAGGCTGGCCTTTATTCCAATGTCTAGGCGATCTCCAGAAATCTCTCTCGAGCTTTGGCAAGAATAAATCACTATGATTTTGATGTAATTATAATTAGGAGGAAAGCTCATCCCCACAACATCCTGAAATCATTGTGGCAGGTGCAGCAGTGGAGGAAAATATGTTTGTGAGGGATTACAGATGTGGCTCCAAATTTGGCATGGGTTGTGTGTGAGAGAGTGTTTTGCCCAAACTTTGGTGACAAGAGCATTAGAAAAGCAGTGCACCTGGGTCAGTCCAAACAGCCAGTTGAGAGTGGTCCATATGGACAAGGGGGGCACTGCCCAACCAACCTGTCTGCCTCCACCCAGTTTCCTGCCTCCTTTCTTACAAACAGCCCAGATGATGGTCCTCGCTATCAGCTCCCACCTCCTCCTTCGTCTCCGTGTTGCCCTTGCAGAACTCAGCAAGGGAGGAAGGCAAGAACAAAACCATAATCGGTTGGTTCTGTCTGTTCCTGGCTCTGGTTCCAGTTATCTGCTCTGGCGCCATCTACTGTTGGGCTCCTTGCCTTCTGCCCTACCAGCCACAATGGAGTCAGAGTAGGACATTGGAGGGAGGGATTCTTCTCTTTCCTCCACACGCTGGACCACCTGCCCTTGAGTTGGCTAGGAAGCATGCTGGGTGGTAGAGGAAGGCAGAGACATGTCACATGGTGAATGGTACACCTGCCTGGTACACCAAAGCCATGTTTCTTTGGGAAATTGGGAAGGTAGCGCCAAAGTAGCCATTTTGCCCTGTGTGGAAGGGTCAAAGCTCAGTACCTACTTTTGCATGCGAAAGGTCCCAGGCTCAATCCCTAGCATCTGGGAGAGAGCCTGGTCTGAAATCCTGGATGGCTGCTGCCATTCAGTAAAGACAATGCTAGGCTTGATGGCCTGACTTAGTATAAGGCAGTTTCATACATGATGGTGCTGCTGTTCTGGGCTTTGTAGAAAAATTGAGGTCTAAAAAAGTGTATTAATCCAAACTTTGTGTTGTGCAGTGGTTAACGTGTTGCACTAGGGCTTGGGAGAAGAGGACTAGGGCCAGACACTGTTCCTCAGCCTAACATACCTCACAGGGATGTTCTTGTTGTGAGGATAAAGTGGGAGGAGGGGGGACCACAATACCTCAAGGACTGCTTCTCTCCATATGAACCTACCTAGACCTGGAGAACATCCTCTGAGGTCCTTCTTTGTGTGTCTCCTCCACGAGAGCTCTGGAGGGTGGCAACATGAGAACAGCGCCTTCTCTGCAGTGGCTCCCCGTCTGTGGAATGCTCTCCCCAAGGAAGTTCGCCTGGCGCTTTCATTATACACCTTTAGGCACCAGACAAAAAACATTCTTTGGCTGATTGACATCTGATGCCCTTTTAAATGTGTTGTGGGAGAGGGGGTTGCTGGTTTGCTGTGGTTGTTATTTCTACTATGTGTTCTGTGGTTTTTATATTGTAATGTTATGTTGTGAACCCCCCTGGGTCACAGAAGAACCCAGAGCCCAGAAGGAATCATGGAGAGAAACAGGTCGGCTGTGACTGCAGCATTCAGCACCCCGATTCATGGGGGTCCAGAAAGTTTTGGGACTGGAGGCATATATTTAGGAATGACAGAAACTGTTGCGGGCAGCGCAGGATACACATTTCACTGGTGGTGCTCAGAACACTCCCTCCCACAAAAGACTACACATACAACACACATTTACATTCAAAACACAAAGAATGAATTCCCACGATTTAGGGAGGTAGAGAAAGACACTTAAAATGTGTATGCAGTCACACACACTACAAATGAGACACAGGCAACGCTCTTCCAAAATGGGCAAAATCCCCCAGCCACACAACCCACCCAAACTATTCCCCCCCCCACTGTGGGCTGGGCAGGGGTACTTGGCAGCAACTACAGGTGTGTGAGAGGCAGGAGATGTCCCCCGGCTGAAAGCACCACAAACCCTTCACTTGGTTGGCCTCTCAGTGGTTCAGCTGGGCCTGACTCTGGGGTGCCTGAGCTACTATTGCACTGCACCCACCACAGATTGTTGTGGGGCCTGAGGAGGCTGCGAAGGTTGCCTTTGGCTGCTGCCTGTCTGTGGCGTCACAAAAGAAAAGGCAAGTGAGTGGATAGAGAGGTGGGCTGGTGAGGGCAGAGGCGGGAGGAGGGAGGAGGGGGCTGCTGTATTGGCCACTGCCTGCCTGGGCAAGGGAAAAGAGGTAAAGGAAGAGTTTCAGAATTCTATGATCATTTGATAAAAAGCCCAGCTAGGTGATTTGTCCAGCTTAAAATCAGTGTGGAGATATAATTTAATAACAAATACTGACAATTCCACCAGAAAAGGGCTGTGGTTGGCAAGTAAATCTGTGTTGGCAAATATTAGAAAACTGTCACACATAATGTGGCATAGATGGTATGGGACATATATAGCCCAACTAGCACATATTACATCAGCAGTAATAAGCCCTATGTGTTGCCATGGTTGTGATACTAAACGTACCTACTTTCATCTATGGTGGAAGTGGCCACACATTAAAACATTCTGGTCCCTGATTCACACAGAGCTATTAGCAATACATAGAAACTTTGCTCTGGAACGTCCTTTTTTAACATCGTTTCAAGGTACAAATAAAGATTCAACGTCCAAACAATATATCACCTTCTTAGTATTTGCAGCTTAGATGAACCTTTGTACAGCACCGGAAGGAACTTGACAACTTGAATATATAAATGTGGTGCAAGAATGTATAGAATATTGCAATTGGGGGGATTTACATCAAATTTAAGACTAGTTCAAGGTAAAGCACATCCACAGGACTTCTTTTCGATGTGGTGGGGCTTCATGTAATATGCTAATGACAAAAAATCTATGTGATTTAATGCCACAGCTGAACAGAAATGTCTGGTTGTCATAAAAATCCTCTTAGGTTATTGTTTTGCTTAACAAAAGGTTTGGTCCTTTTTCTCTCTTCTCTTTTCTTCTACCTTATTCCTACCCTCATTTTCCTCAACTTGGGTTTTTTAAGCAGTGTATGTTTTATCAGGTCACAGCAGACCTACAGCAAACAATATGAAACGACATACATAATATTTATCAGCATTGAAAAAAATGGGCTCTTGTCTTATGTATTTAGTTGGATATTTTGGAAAAATTATATGGGAAGCTAATTTTTTAAAAACTTTTTTTTTTTAAAGCACCCCTTTTGGCCCTGTTTTCCTCCAGTGTAGATAAATGGGGTTATATTCAACTAACTTTTACTCCGAGTAGACCCATTAAAATTAATGGACCTAAGAAAGTTATGGTCATTAGTGTCTATGATTCTTCTTACAGTAAAAGCTAGTTGAATACAACCCATGGTTTGTGCTAACTGAAACATTTTCTGCAGACAATGATTTGACGTCCCGTAAGGTTCTCCTTATCCCAATCCTTAACAAGATGATAGTATTCAAGGCGATGGTGCAGGGCAAGACAAACTCAAAGAAATGGAAGATTGCGAATCAGTTCTGTCTGCAGGTTCAGTTTCCATTTCTTCCATGTTCACCTTGATGACCACGATCTCTTCCTTGATGGCAACCTCCTTTTCGGGAGGTACATAACCAGATGTGGAAGGCAAGACTTCGAGATCAGAGGCGCTGTCTTTTGGTTCCCTGTGAAAAGGATCGTGGCCTGTGGGCTGCTTTGCCTCCCTCTGGTTTTTGTCATGGAGAAACGTATAGGGCTCCATTAATTCATCGAGCATCAATTCTGTGTTTAGAGCACACTCAAAGTTGTTGTCATATTCCCCCGTCACGGACAGTAAGCCACCTTGCAGCACCAACATCTGAGTTAGTGTCTTCATGCCAATAACTTTCTGTTGCGCTTCCTTGACCTCACCCTTTTCCCTCTTCCCGCCAAAGCACTGCTCATCGAGCTGAATCAGCTCCTCGTTTGTAAGGCGTTCCGTGCGAGACGCAAGCGCCTCTCGCACGTCCTCTTCATCCACACCCTCAAAGCCAGCCTGTGCTGCCAGGTCCACAATAGTCTTATGTGCAGCGGGCAACTCCTTCGCCAGCGCTCTGTGATCACGAACATACTTGGGGCATAAGCTTTTCCAGGCAGCGTTCAGAGTCTCTTTTGTAACCATCGACCAAGCTGTAGCAATGAAATCCACAGCCTTCCTTATGTTGAATTCTTTCCAAATGTCCACGAGGCTTCTGCTGTTGCCTTCGGCACTCTTCGTGACCACGTGTTTCATGACAAGCTGGAGATAGTAAGCCTTGAATTTGTCGGTCACTCCTTGGTCCATAGGCTGCAATGATGAAGTCGTGTTGGCTGGCAGAAACAGAACACGGACATTGTCGGAATAATCGTGGCTGCTGACAGGGTGGCCAGGGGCGTTGTCCAGCAGGAGAAGCACTTTGTTGTCCAGGTTGCTTTCCCGACAATAGTCAGCCGCAAAAGGAGAAAAGTAGCTCCTGATATAGTCGCTGAAAACTTCGCGGGTGACCCATGCCTTTCTGTTGGAACGCCACAAAATGGGCAGAGTTGATTTGGGGATCCCCTTCAGTGCCCTGGGGTTCTCTGAGTGGTACACAAGCAGGGGTTTTAGCTTCACATCACCCTCTAGATTACCCCCCAGCAGCAGCGTCAGGCGGTCCTTTGAAACCTTGGGCCCCGGCACTTTTGTCTCCTGGATGGAGATGCACGTCCGAGACGGCATGCGCTTCCAAAACAGCCCTGTTTCATCCATGTTGAAGATCTGCTTTGGGTGGTACCTGCCTTCCTCAATGATTTCCTGGAAATGTGTGGGGTAGGTTGATGCGACCGCAGTGTCAGCAGTAGCTACCTCTCCCCTTAGTTTAACGTTGTGAAGGTACGCCCTCCTCTTGAATCTGTCAAACCACCCCTTGCTCGCCTTGAACCCCATGCCTACAGCACTCGCATCCCCCTTCTCCGCCTTCTTCCTCTTCAGGTCCTCAAACAAGGACAGCGCTTTCTCCTGAATGAGGAGGAAGGACAATGGGGCGCCCCGATCGCCGTGGCAGTCAATCCACTGAACCAGCAGCCTCTCCAGAGTTTCGTAAATTTCTGCTCGCCCGGTTGTCACCTTGGTTAACTTTTCGCTCTGCAGATTTTCAGCGCTTGCTTTTATCCTCTCGCGGTTGTTGAATATGGTACGGACTGTAGACTTTGACAAGCCCATGGCTAAAGAAATGTCTTTGTTTCGCTCCCCGCGCTCTGCACGCTCCACCACCTCCAGCTTGACCTTCAGTGTGTGGGCTGTTCTAGCCCTCCTGCTCCTGGCCATGATGGCCAGTTTTTTCTCAGCTTTCTTCCTTTCTTTCAGGGACTTCCCAGTACACCTGAAGCACTTTCCACACATCGCACATTTATCTGGTTTCTCTTTTGTGTGAGTTCCTAGAGGTTTAGCAAGTGATCTGCTATCGCCAAGGCTCTTTCCGCACTCGGCACATACATATGGCTTCCACCCTGAATGTATTCTTTCATTACTAAAATTCCCACTGGTGCAGAAGGTCTTTCCGCAAGCTATGCATTTATACGGTTTCTCCCCCTTGTGGATTATTTCATGTGTAGCAAGGTCTCCTCCATTGCTGAAGCTCTTTCCACACTCAACACATGTGTACGGTTTCTCCCCGGTCTGGATACTTCTATTATTTTGACAATGTTGCTTATCCGGACTGATGATTTTGGGTCCCCTTTGGTTTCCAAATGTCTCTTTCCACATTCCGTACTCCACAGATGATTGCACGTAATTCTCGCTGGACTGACCACCTTCTGCTTGGGAAACAAAAGGAAAAGGAAATCCTGTTAGGATAGCAAGGCAGAAACCAACAACCTCATCAGGGACAAGCCCAATTAGCTGCTTCTCTTTTATATGCATGCAAGGCCCACCCCCCCAAACCCACTTACAGGCACCAGCTCCCCTTCAGATCTTTTTGTATAGGGATAGAAGGTCTCAGTAGGGATTCTGAGCCCTTTTCAAAAGGACACTGTTAGAATCGCGGAAGGAAGAATGCATTCAATGGACAGATCCTGAAAATAGGAAGGTGTCTTATACTGAGTGAGTTCATTGGTCCACAGCCAACAGTTCTCCAGGGTTTCAGGCAGCAGACCCACCCAGACTACCTGGAGATGCTGGAGACCAAACCTGGGAATTTCTATCTGGAAAGCAGAAGCTAATCTACTTTATTTACATATAATACACTCGGAGCATTCTGACTTAGCTCCTTCCTCTTTCTCATCAGACAGCAAAGAGAAAAAGACCAAAGTACAATAGTCCTACATCACGGAACATATTAACATCAAAACATCCTGTTTCTGTCACTTCCCACCCTGTGGAATGAAAACATATACCGTCATGTGATAGAAAACAATCCCATGACTGCAAACACGGAGCAAGAATCCTAACAGGGTCATCTAGTCCAACCCCTTGTCAGGGAAAGGTCTGGAGATGAGGACTGGGGAATGCGTTCACAGGCAGATCAGCTCCTCTCAGAAGAGGAGGGGGGAGATTGGCTCCCTCCTTGCCTCCAGCGTTTTCAGAAGCAGAGAGAGATACAGATGCAGAACACATTCCCCAGGAGTTGCCTAGCTACGAGATAATGAGAGACGAGCAGGATCAGCTAGCAGATACGTCATTGGAGAGTGTGGGGGGACCCCCTCCCCAAAATCTAGGAGGTCTGATCATATCAGAGAAGGCAGAGAGGGGGAGGAACTTCCCGTTGGCACTCAGGATGTTGCTGGGGAAGTGCAAGGGAGGAGTCAGGCTAGCCTTGCGGAGAGATGTGTGTTTTGTGCTTGCAGCATGATGCTGTAATAAAAGGACTATAAGTCTATGAACTGCTCATTAATTCTTATCTGTGAAGTTACCGAAGAAGAAGAAGAGGAGTTTGGCTTTGATATCCCGCTTTATCACTACCCGAAGGAGTCTCAAAGCGGCTCACATTCTCCTTTCCCTTCCTCCCCCACAACAAACACTCTGTGATGTGAGTGAGGCTGAGAGAATTCAGAGAAGTGTGACTGGCCCAAGGTCACCCAGCAGCTGCATGTGGAGGAGCAGAGATGCAAACCCAGTTCCCCAGATTACGAGTCTACCACTCTTAACCACTACACCACACTGGCTCACACTGGAAGAGGAGTACTCTTCACGCCTGACACCCTGCAAGTTTGCGTTTAGTTTGAGTTGGATGTGAAGCAGGACTAGTTCAGTACCGTGGGAGCAGAAGTATAGTAGCCATTCTTGTCGTTGTACAGTCATACCTTGGGTTACAGACGCTTCAGGTTGTGTTTTTTCAGGTTATGGAAGCGTCAAAACCCGGAAGTACCGGAATGAGTTACTTCTGGGTTTTGGCATCATGCGCGCGCTAAATTGCGCTTCGCGCATGCGCAGCAGCACCGAATCGCAACCCGCGCATGCGCAGACGCGGCGCTGCAGGTTGTGAATGCTGCGGGTTGTGGAAGTGCCTCCCACATGGATCATGTTCGCAACCCAAGCGTGCACTGTAATAAACAAACAAATAAATGAAGACTGAAGCTATTCACTGTAGAGGGACCCCAAGCATCATGTTGCAAAACACCTTATTTACAACTAAAAAGCCCCTGAGAGGTGGCCACCCAACCGCTGTTTAAAAACCTACAAAGAATGAGGGTCTACCACCCCATCTCCAAACATTCCGCTATGCTTGGCTATGCTAGGGCTGGAGAATTCTAAAAAATGTTATCTGTGGTGGCCGCAGAAATAAAGGGAGTTAGCGAAACACGCATTAAAAAACCCCAGCTCATGGCTTCACAGGTGGTGATGGGTTTTTTGGTGTAGTGCCAAAGAGTGGGGGGGGTGGACCCTCCCCCACTATTACCCTACATAGGTTTGCCTCAAACACCAGAAGAGAGCTAAGAGTGATCCTTACCCAGAAAGCTCAGGTTTCCACAAATCTCCTCCATGACTTCCCGGTGCAGAGCTCTCTGGCCCAGATCCAACAGCGCCCACTCCTCCTCTGTGAAATGCACGGCCACCTCCTCAAAGATCACTGGGCTCTGAAAGAAGAAAGAAGAACGTATTTGCCACCTCCCATACACACAGGTATTAGCATGGAAAGGCTTCCTATTGGGCAGGTGTGGAAGGATCAAAAGGGGAACCCAGAGACATCCAGCCTGCCCCTGCCTCCAATCTCTCGAACCGTTCTCCTCTTACCTGATCCGGGGGCTTGGTAAGAACCTCGTCTGCTCCATCCCAAAGAGGAAAAGGGCCGGAAGGACGCTCCAGGGTCATTTCACCACCTGGGAGGGACACAAAAATGATGGCATGATGAGGCTGCCCTTGAGACTGACCCAGAAACTCCAGCGGGTGCAGAATGCCGCAGTGAGACTCCTTACGGGGTCCTCGCCATGGGATCTCATTCACCCGGTGCTATACCAGCTGCACTGGCTCCTGGTGGAGTACAGGGTCAGGTTTAAGGTGCTGGTTTTAACCTTTAAAGCCCTATACAGCCTAGGACCCTCGTACCTATGGGACCGCCTCTCCTGGTATGTCCCACGGAGGACCTTACAGTCTTCAAACAAAAACATCTTGGAGGTCCCGGGCCACAGGGAGGTTAGGCTGGCCTCAACCAGAGCCAGGGCTCTTTTGGCAGTGGCCCCAATCTGGTGGAACGCTCTGTCACAAGAGACTAGGGCCTTGTGGGACTTGACATCTTTCTGCAGGGCCTGCAAGACAGAGCTGTTCCACCAGGCCTTTGGCCAAGGCACAGTCTGACCCCCTCCTTTGGTAATCCTCACAGAACTCTAGCCCAATGGTTGCCATTAATTTGATTCTGAATTGATTTTAGAATGTATTTTAATTAATTGACTGTGATTTTATGTAAATTGTGCTATTTTTACTGTTGTTAGCCGCTCTGAGCCCGGCTTTGGCTGAGGAGAGCGGGATATAAATAAAATATTATTATTATTATTATTATTATTATTATTATTATTATTGACCCTGTTAGCTGCCCATTCGAGGTGCTGGACCTTAGTAGCAAAGGCCCCAATGGCCATTGCTAGCCTTCTTCTGAAGATTAGACAGATTTGAGAGACAATGAAGTGACCTCTGCAAGACGCAAGCCTGGGCAGTGTGTGTGGTGGTCCAGGGCTGCCTAGATGAGAAGACTGATGTGGTCCAAACGAAAGCAGAGCAAGACTTTGGGCACCAGCTTGGCTGCAGGAGTCGCTGGAAGGAGGCGGACAAGGCGCCATCCAACCACCCCAGGGGCTGCCCCCAGGAGGATCTGCTCCACAAGAAACCAAACCATGGAAGAAACACATTCTCATCCAGACACCTTTGACAGTTCAGCACCTGGTGAGAAAAACAACCCTCCCTCCTCACATCACAGCTTTGCTTCCTTTCAAAGCGATGGATTGGAGCTAAATAAGTTGTTGTTGTTTTAAGCTCCAGTCCATCTCCTTGAGTGGAAGCAAAGCTTTTGTAGATGAGCACATCTTCATAAACCGTGGGAGGAGATGGAGTCAAATGTTTCTGCCCCGCCCATAGCTGCCAACCTTCCCTTTTTTGTGGGAAATTCCCTTATTCCAGCGCCGTTTCCCGCTGCTTCCCGCTGCTATCCCGGATTGTTAGATATCCCGTAGACTGTCCCCGGGACAGGCAAGGCTGCTGATCCCTTATTTTCAAATCTGAAAGTTGACAGCTAAGGCCCCGCCACCCAGCTCCAGGGGAACAGGGAGAGCAATTGGCACATCTGAGAGATTCAAGATCACCTGTGGACCCTCACCTGGCGAGACAGCTCCTCCGTCACCCTCCAGCACAATCCACCTGAACTGTGGCCTCTGCATGGGACCCAGGGTGTCCTCCTCTGCCTCGAGAGGACCTCTGGCCACTTCTCTCCACCCCTCCACCTGAAATAATAAATAATAATAATAATAATAAACTTTATTCATACCCTGCCCTCCCTGGCCACAGCCGGGCTCAGGGCGGCTAACAACAGTAAAATTACAGTAAAAACATAATAGGAAGAAGAAGAAAAAACCAATTTAAAATGCAATTTAAAATGCAATCCCATCAAAACCATAAGGGGAGGGAAACATAAGGGTCAGACTGAGTCCAAACCAAAGGCCAGGCAGAACAGCTCTGTCTTGCAGGCCCTGCAGAAAGATGTCAAGTCCCACAGGGCCCTACTCTCTTGTGGCAGAGCGTTCCACCAAGTCAGGGCCAGTGCTGAAAAGGCCCTGGCCTTAGTTGCGACCATTAGTTGCGAGGCATTAGAAGAGGAAGGAGGCAGGGAAAGGGAGGGCAAAAGGTGTGGATTTCAGAATCCTATGGCTCATGCCATCCACCCGTCAGGGAATGGACTGAAGAGGAGGAGGAATGGTGGAGATCACCCAACCCTTCTCCTGTAGCTTCCAGAGAAGAAGATGGCAGCATTGAATTACAGCAGGGTTTTGAGGAAGATCACAGCACAGAGGCAGATGAACAAACGAGTTGGGAGGTGATAGAAGTGGGAAGGGAGACAGAGCCAGCTGACACGTTGTCACTGGACAACATAGCTGATCCCCCGTCCCCTAGAACTCGGCGTTCATTAAGAGCGCAAGAACAAAGGGCACAGAGACAGCTGACCACTGAAGACACCGTAGAAACAGATGCTGTTGCTAGAAAGGGAGGGAGTGGAGATCAGTGTGAGCAATGTTGGGAATCTGAGTACGTGCAGCTACTCACACAGTCAATTAGGGTTTGGCAGACAGCCAAGGCAATGTGAAGAAGTCTGCCTGGTGATACAGAGGCATGGAGACAGCTCCATGATTGGTCAAGCTCTCTCCTGGGAATAATGATTAATGGCCTACTAACTAGAATGTGTGCTAGTACGTGTTTGAGAGTAGGAGTTGGAGGTTGAGAGTTGTGAGTTGTGCATGAGAGAGTTAGTTAAAGATCTGTTTTCTGTTCTGTTCCTGTAAATAGTCCACTGTATAGAATAAACACCTAACTACAAGTTCCTGGTTCCTGCTTCGTCCATCCTTTCTGCAGCCAAGTTGCCAATTGCTTTTGTGAACTCTGCGTTTACTCTGCTAGGTCTGGCTAAGGTCCTGCAACTAGTCAGAAAGTTGCGAAACACCAATAGGTTTTGCCAATAAGCAACGCCATTATTGAGGAATGGCTGGATTTCTTTGTCTCTCACCATGATGACTGAATAAACTCCCTTCTTCTTGCTGCCATCGGGGGAGGGAGAGAAATCCTCAAGCCTAACCCCACCTTTTGGCCCTGCAAGGATTAAACAGCTCTCACCTGTTTCTCCTCTTCCTGCTTCTTCCCCTCCGCCTGGCTCAGGAGGAAGCCTTCGGCCAGGGCCACCGCCTGGGAACTGGTCTCCGCTCCGCACTCCCTGACCCAGCTCTCCATCTCTGGGGGGAGGACAGCCAGGAACTGCTCCAGAACCACCAGGTCCAGCATCTGGGCCTTGGTGTGGCTTTTTGGCTTCAGCCACTGGCGGCAAAGACTGTGGAGTCGGCTGCAAACCTCTCGGGGCCCCTCAGCCTCCTGGTAGCCAAACTCCCTGAAGCGTTGGCGCTGAGCATCTGGGTTGGCATTGTCCTCATCGAGGGTCTTCTGTTGTGCCCTTTCCCAGAAGTCCCCGCTGCTCCCAGCTTGGGTTAAATGGGGTCCTCTTCCTGCCTGAGGTCCAGCTAACCCTTGCTCTTCCATCTTTGTTCTCTGCAGTAGCTGAGCTTCCAAAAAGACTTGAAGAACAAGAACATTTGTTTGTTCGTTTTAGATAGTTCTACATTGTCATTTGCCCAAACGCCCCAGCTTAGCACACAATTAAAACATCGGAACCGTATTTGACAAATGCATAAAGGTAATACAGGAATGAATCAACAAAGTTGTAAGATTCAACACCTATCCTCTGTGCTATTTAACATCTACGTGAAACCACTGAGAGGGGTCATCCGGAGGTTTGGAGTACGCTGTCAGCAGTATGCTGATGACACTGAGGTCTTGCCTTGGTAATGGACTGGAAGAGAGCCAACAAATCAAACTTCAATCCAGAAAAGATTGAAGCATTGTTAGTGGGTGGTTACTTGAACCAGATGGGTGGGAGGTGACCTGCTCTTGATGGGGTTACCCTCCCTCTGAAGGAGCGAGTTGGTAGCTTGGGGGTCCTCCTGGATCCTAAACTGCCTCAGTCCAGTCTACCTGAAGGAGCGTCTCCACCCCCATCGTTCTGCCCAGACACTGAGGTCCAGCGCCGAGGGCCTTCTGGTGGTTCCCTCACTGCGAGAAGCCAAGTTACAGGGAACCAGGCAGAGGGCCTTCTCGGTAGTGGCACCCGCCCTGTGGAACGCCCTCCCACCAGATGTCAAAGAGAACAATAACTACCAAACTTTTAGAAGACATCTGAAGGCAGCCCTGTTTAGGGAAGCTTTTAATGTTTAATAGGCTATTGTATTTTAATATTCTGTTGGAAGCCGCCCAGAGTGGCTGGGGGAACCCAGCCAGATGGGTGGGGTATAAATAATAAATTATTATTATTATGCTGTTGCTCAAGGCTCAGGTGGCCTCAGTGGCCCGGAGTGCCTTCCATCATCTTCAGCTGGTGGCCCAGCTGTGCCCCTATCTAGACAGGGATAGCCTAACGACTGTTGTCTATGCTCTGGTAACCTCAAGGTTAGATTACTGCAATGCATTATACGTAGGGATGCCTTTGGAAACTTCAGCTGGTGCAAAATTCAGCAGCCAGGTTGCTCACCAGAGCAAGACGGTTTGAGTATATTACACTGATCCTGGTCTGACTGCACTGGCTACTGATTAGTTTCTGGACACAATTCCAAGTGCAAGTTTTGACTTATAAAGCCTTAAATGGCTCAGGAGTACAATGCCTTGAGGACCGCCTCTCTCCCTGTGAACTGGCCCGGACACTAATATAACCTTCTGAGGCCCTTCTTCATGTGCCTCCTCCTCGAAAGGTCCAGAGAGTGGCAACACGAGAAAGGGCCTTTTCTGCAGTGGCTCCCCATTTGTGGAATGCTCTCCTCGGGGAGGTTCAGCTGGTGCCTTCACTATACATATTTAGGTGCCAGGCAAAACTTTTCTCTACAACCAGGCTTTGGGCTCATTAACACTCTGTTAATGGGCCTGTTCTGTTCTTATTATATATATATATATATTTGGGGGGGGGTTGTGTTTTATGTCTTGAAATCTTTGGATAAAGGGTGGTATACGATTGTTGTTATCGTTAACACCTGCAGACATAAGTAAACAGTTACCTGGAAAACGAAAGAGGGCGACAATTCAGTTCTGAAGAGCTCAGAGCGCTTGGTGTTGTGAAGTATTTGGCTTTTTAAAGTAGAAATAAGGGAAGGCAGAATAGCAGGTTGGGGGGCGTGATTCGGTGGAGAAGACTGCAGGGGCTTCTGAGCACAGGATCGAGAGTGATAGGCAGAATTCTATCAGCAAAACTAACGCCATATATAACTCTCATATTGCAGAACTTGCACCCATAACTCTCAAGGTGTGGCGGCATAGCTGTCAACTTTTCCCTTTTCTTGAGAGGAATCCTATTCGGAATAAGGGAAATTCCCTTAAAAAAAGGAAAACGTTGACAGCTAGGTGGGGGGAGGGGAGAGGTAACAAAACATATCAATAAGGGAAAGAGAAAATGAAGGGAAAGAAAAATAGGTAAATCTGCTTAATCTTTGCCTTGGGCTCACATTGTTTTGTTTAAGGGAAAGAGCGAGCTCACATAAAAATTGAGATTTATAGCCAGGCCAAAAAAGAGATGAAAACAGATTAAAAGATGAAGCCGGCTTGGTCTTCTTAAACTGGTGTCCTCACGCAGAGTTGTTTTGAGCCCAGTCATATTGGAGACTATCAAAAAGACATGCTTTGAGTATCTGTATAAATGCTTTGAATATTTTTATATGCTTTTGACCTCCCTTGCCTTTCTTTCTTTTTGTTAAGCCTCCATTCACCGTTCAGATCTTTGCATCCAAATCCCGCCCCCCTTTGCACCCCCCTCCCTGGCCCCGGGACGCCCCTCGAGCCCAAGTTGCGGGGAAGTGGGATTGGGGGGGGCAGTTGTCACTCACCTCATCCAGGGATGCAACCCGTGGGAAGATCTTTTCTTTCTTTCCCACATGCAAAGCGCAGAGAGGAGAGGAATTGAATCTTGCAAAGCTCAGCTGCTCCTCTCCTCCTCCTCCTCCCCCAGCTGCCTCTCTGGGCATCCGGCCGCCCCTTTCTCAGTGGCTTTCCCCCCACCCCGCCTTTATTTATTTTTTGCAAAGGAAATGCACGCCCCCCAAGGGTTAAAAGCAATTGCTCGCAGCCCTAGAGAGGTTCCTGGGGATAGTCACTTCCTCCTCCCAAATCTTGGTGGGAAAGGGAGGGGTGTGGGTGGGCGCGATTTGCAGGAAATCCTGCAGTGCTGGTGGGGGTTTCTCAAGGCAGGGGGGAAAACAGCAAAGGGAGATCATGGAATCAGCTGCATGGGACACGGAGGGGTCATCTAGCCCAACCCCCTGTGATGCAGAGATCACAGCTAGATCATACATGACCCAACCTCTGCTCAAAAGTCTCCCGTGAAGGACAGGGCAGCCACGTCGGAGGCTGGAGCCTAGGAAGTCTGCCTTATGCTGAGTCCTATTGCACTGACTGGCAGCGGCAGCAGCTCTCCCAAGATTTCAGATGAGGGGTGCTTAAAGTCCTGAGCAGGCTCTGTCTGCCCAGGACGCAAGTGAAGCAGGTAGAAGGCGGCACTGCCACCCTAAAATAAGTATACGGTGTGGACATGGCCACAGTTAAAAAATAAAAGACAGGGAGAAAGAGTTCAGCCCTGGCAAGGGAGCAGAGAGGGAGGTGGAAGGAGGGCTCTTGGTTGTGAATGGTAGAGTTGGAAGGGGTCCCCAGGGTCACCTGGAATGCAGGTGTCACAGTTAAAGAACCCCCGACAGATGGACAGCCAACTCTGTTTTTAAAAAACCTCTGATGAAGGAGAGTCCACCGCCCTTGGAACAATTTTGCCCTTCTGCCAAGTCGCAGGAATCAGATGCAGCCCACGGTGCGATTTTCATAGAATCAAATATTCGGGGAGTTAGAAGGGGACACAAAGTGGTCATCTAGTCCGAACCCCGGCAGGGCCGGAATCACAGCTAATTTTGCATTCTAAACTCGACTGGCATTTCTGTTCTCTCCTCCCACCAACCAGCCCCTTCCAAAGCATTCATTCCATTCTTTGCTCCCTCACTCCTGTTAGGAGTGAATAAAAACAAACTTTTAAGGATTGCAAACCCCAATGAAAAAAAAGTGTGCGGCTGAAGATTTTAAAAGCTCAAACTGCTATTATCATTATTTATGTTTTGAAAGTGGGGGAAGTAAGCCTGCTGCTGTCACAGTTTGAGGTCTTGTGCTTTCCCCTGTGTTTTAGGCCAGTTTAACAGTAGATGCTTCCGTGCCAGGTTCTGGCATACACAAGCACACATAGCTTACCGCAAATATAGGAACTCTAACCCCTCTTAATTAGTAGTATGCTTCCCTCAGGCAGAAGTACAAATTTCTGCTAAGATGGAAAAAACAGAAAGCAGAAAAACATGCTTGGAATATCTCAATAAAGGCCTCCCGCCTCCCTCTTCTGGCGTACAATATCAGGCATGCTGGAGAACGCTTGCAATGTGTGTACTATCGGACTCAATGAATGGATGCAATATTCTCATTCTCTCTATCAAGGGCAGGATAGTAAGGTCAACCAAATCACAGAATCTTTGGAAAACTTTCCAGACTGGCCTCCAGTATCTATAACCGAGGTCAAGAACCTTCTTTCAGTTAAAAAATAATAAAGCACCCAGCATAGACTATTTTGCCCCCAGAACCGTTGAAATCTTACATCGGTTGGTGGGCTTCCCTGCCGGCGGTAATATTCTCATTTATTGATTCATCCAGGTTATTTCCTGAAGGTCTGCTGTGGTCATCCCTTTATTCAAAAAGGGCCTTCCATCCAATCTGGCTAGTTATAGACCAATTAGTTTGCTACCTGTAATTAGCAAATTATATGCACAGCATCTTTACCATAAGCTAGTTGATTGGATAACCTGATGGAGCTATTCTTGCCAAAGAGCAAGCAGGATAAGATACGTATGTTAAGAAACCAGGTGGTGTGCTATATGTAGCTTTCATTGATCTGAAAGCTGCATTCGATTCAGTCTCTTGAGAAAGTCTGTGGGATAAGATGAACTCTTCAAGTATAGATAAAAGATTATTGTTATTGATTAAATGTCTATATAAAAACTGCTGAAGGTGCATTGCTCTACAAGTGGGCAGCTCACAGGATCTGTACTGTAGCCTTTCTAGGCCTTTTTAACCATGGGTAGGAAAGCGTTGCACCTGGGCAGGGATGAAAAGAGTCAAACGACACCAAGGGGTTAAATCCAGAGAAAGAGCTTTATTCTGCCATGGGGGGGGGGGCAGAGGACCTGTGTGATGGATTCACAAAAACAGGCTGCAGAAAAAACATTTTACAGCAGGTTTTTATCCTTTTTCCCACCCCCCCTTTTTCCTTCTCCCCCTTCACAGAATTGCATAGAAAATGTTTCGCTCTTGTTCCCTGGCTCTGCTCCCGGAAGAGTTTGCAACAATCTAAAGGTGCTTGGACAAGGTCAGCTAGCCTGAGAAGCAAAAGACATTGTTCTCTACCTTTGTTACATAGAAAGATGCTGAGCTAAAAGCTTTTAGCCTTAGAGAAAAAAACTTTGAGAAGTGCAGTTTGAAAAGTGTTTGAGGCTTTGAGGCCTGGCTGGGGCGGGGGGGGGGGGGATTCACAGTTTTTTAGGGTAAGCTAACTGTTCCCCTTCAGTACCGGCCACAAAGGGAGTTAAGCAAGGTTGTATCCTAGCTCCCACACTGTTTAATTTATGTATAAATGATATTGTTCAGAGTTTAACATCCCCAGAGTATCATGCCTCAAAATTGGCCACAAAAGCCATCTCTGTATTACTATTGGATGGATTTCCCCCTAAATTGATTTTTGAATTCTGAATTTATTGTTACTCACGTTTTATACTGTATTTTATGCTGGTTTTTGTTGCATCAATTAAGTGTTTTAAATTTGTTGTTACCAGCCCTGAGCCCGGTTTTCTGAACCAGGAAGGGCGGGGTATAAAAAAATAATATTATTTATTATTATACGCAGATGGTGTGGTACTTTTATCCCAAACAAAAGTAGGCCTAAAAAGATGGATGAGGGCATTCTCAGGATACTGCCAAAGAGAACAGCTGGCTGTCAATTGCAAGAAAACTAAAGTTTCAAGAAAGGATAGTCAGTCACGTTGATGCTGATTGGTCTGGGACGGAATGCAACAAGACCCTGATTGGCCAGCAAAGAAAAGGGAGTTGACTGACAGCTGGCAGAAATAGTGACAGTTGGGAATGTCAGTTGGTGAAGGAAGGTGTGTGAGGCAAAGAGCGCTGAGAGGAAGCTGAGGGCTGGATATGAAGCTGCCATTAGGGCCAGGAAAGGGGAGCTGGCAGCTGTGCCAGGCCGAGGCTGCCCTTTTTAGAAAAAGCCTTAACTTAAAGTTTTCAAAACAGTTTTTTCAGAGATTGGTTAAGCTAGCCAAGCAGCCAGAAGTACAACCGGAGGAGCTTTGGGGGGGCGGTCAGAGGCAGGAGAACCAGGGGAGTTGGCCCCAGGGAGTTGGCACCTATGGCCAGAGGCAGACTGTCCCCAGTAGCTAAACCGGGTTGTGAGCATATATGGCCAAGGTGGAGTTTTAGGGTCTTTGGCCTGAGGTAAATTTGCCTTCTAGAGGCTGCTGTCAGCAACTGCTATCGAGTCCAGTCCACAGAAACTGTCACTGAGCACATCAAAAGCCGCCAAGTCAGTATCAGTGTCCTCTGGATGGCATCAATGTGCCTTTAAAAAACAGTCTTAGTTAATGGTTCGTTCTCTCCACTGTTAGCTGGGTATACTGGATTTGGCCACCGTGAGAACAGGATGCTGGCCTGATCCAGCAGGGTTTATTAAAAGGTGGGACCGAAGGAAACCTTTATGTGGTGATAGTTGAGGGAACAGTTTTCCACACAGAAGAAGAAGAGTTGTTTGGATTTGATATCCCGCTTTATCACTACCCGAAGGAGTCTCAAAGCGGCTAACATTCTCCTTTCCCTTCCTCTCCCACAACAAACAGTCTGTGAGGTGAGTGAGGCTGAGAGACTTCAGAGAAGTGTGACTGGCCCAAGGTCACCCAGCAGCTGCATGTGGAGGAGCGGAGATGCGAACCCGGTTCACCAGATTACGAGACTACCGCTCTTAACCACTATACTTCCCTGGGCTGTATGGGTGGTCACTTGAAGGCCTTGTGGGCTGTAGGCCCCTGAAGTTTGTCCCCATATGCCAGACCTGACTGCAACACAGAGCCAGTGAAGTCATTCTTCCTCAGAATGTGGAGTTTGAGACCTTTCACATTAGGAAGGGCTCTTCTAGATCAGTGTTTCCCAACCTTTTTTGGGCAAAGGCACACTTGTTTCATGAAAAAAATCTCGAGGCACACCACCATTACAGCCCCGTGACGTCAGCGCGCAGCGTCACGCCGGGAGGGACGCACGAAAGTGTAAGTTTCAATTTTTTCCCCTCCCCCTTGCCTTCCTTCTGTGCCAACCGCCAAAAAGCCAAGAAAAAAGCCAAGACTTTAGGGCAGCAGGTCGACACGGAAGAAGCTCCTACCTAAGGACAGGTGCGACGGCCGTGTCCTCTTCTGCCACACTTGGCAGCCCTGCCTCACGGTCGTGACTCCCACCCTGATTTCTCCCCGCAGGTCGAGCGGCACAGGCAGCCCAATGTGTCCAGCCCAGACACAAGCCCCGCTTCCCCACTCTAGATCCTGAATGCGACCAAGTGCTCTGGACTCCCGAGCAGGGTGGGAAAGAGGACTCGCATCTGGTAGCCTCCGGGCTCCTCGCCTGCTCGAGGGATGGCATTGCAGGCAAGCTGCCGGCCATCGCCATCGCCGCCCCCTCATGCGAGTGGACCTGCCCGGAGTGGTGGGCCGGGGGAGGCTCGCTCCCTGTGGGGATGTGGCCCGCACGTGCGGCCCCGCTTCCTCCTGCCCAGGGCTGAGCTCCTTACCCGCGATCTCGGTCTCGCGCACGCGGATCCCACTTATTCTGAAGCTCGCGCCACTAGCCGGGGCTCTCACACCGTGCCAGGGCGAGGCGGCGCGGCCCACTGACGTCATCGCGGCTCGCCGCCGCCCTCAACTTCCCTGTTCCCTCCCCTCCCTCGGGTCGCCGTGGTTACCGAGGACTGCAAGCTGCTCGGGCGAGCGTGGGGCATTAAGTGGGAGAAGGAAAATTAAAATTAAAACTCGCCTGAAGGCCGCCTCTCCGGATATCTTTCGAATTTTTTAATTTTTCCCGCGGCACACCAGGCACCAGGAACACAGGTTGGGAAACACTGTTCTAGATGGATCCCCCCCCCCCGGTGAGTGAGGGAGATGGAGTCAACAAAACCATATCTCTTTACCCATTCTACTCAATTCTCACAAATAAAGTCTTCCTGGGACTTTGGAGAGCTTCGAGGACCCCCTCAGGTGGACTCTTCTTCCTCGAAGAGATTCTTCAATCCCTGCACTGAAGGGGGTTGGACTAGATGTAATCTATGTACTCTATGATTCTAGGGATTGTAGGCCACCATGTCTGGTATAGCCTAGGCCAGGGTTGGATTTGCCTGGAGCCTCCCATTTTTGGCACTATCGATGGCTGTAGCATCAAAGCCACATCCTGCAAGCTTCTGTTTGATGTACATCTGTACTCAGGCACTGCTTCCAGGTTCTGGAAAGCAGGAACGGATACGGAACACCCAGACACCCCACAAGAATCCCGGGACTCCTCAAACCCAAACAAGGAAGCAGCGACTCTAAAATTAGCTAAACGTGTTTTAATGTGCGTTTGACTACAAAAGGCAGGGCACAGTCAGAATTCTAGGCCAATGGAGAGAAATAGTTTCCGTCAAATGTATATATATATATTAATCATAAAAAAATTTTAATAAAAAAAACTAAGGCACAGGGGAAATAAAAGGAAGCTTCATGCAAACCAGTCAAGAAATAATAACAGGACCCAGTAAGGCATAAAAACATGCATTATAGCAGCCTTCCTCAGAGGTTTTTGGACTGCAATGGCCGTACTAGTGTGCAGCTGATGGGTGCTGTAGTCCAAAGTCACCTGAAGGGTGCCATAGGCTATAATATACCCAAGTAAATAAATGTGGGGCCTACTCTTCCCCCCCCCCCCGCCGCCCCCAGAAAGGTGACAGCTACCAGCATCAGTCTGTGTCTGCATTGATGTTTGGTTTATTTAAAAAGGTCTGCATATTTATATAGCTTGCTCCTTTTCCACACCCCAAATATTTATTTGGGGGAACTAGGAGGAGCCTCTTGAGAGTCCCATGGGCTGCAAGAAGATCAAACGCATCCATTTTTAAGGTAATCAGCCCTGAGTGCTCACTGGAAGGACAGATCGTGAAGCTGAGGCTCCAGTACTTTGGCCACCTCATGAGAAGAGAAGACTCCCTGGAGAAGACACTGATGCTGGGAAAGATGGAGGGCACAAGGAGAAGGGGACGATAGAGGACGAGATGGTGGGGCCGTGTTCTCAAAGCTACCAGCATGAGTTTGACCAAACTGCGGGAGGCAGTGGAAGACAGGAGTGCCTGGCGTGCTCTGGTCCATGGGGTCACGAAGAGGCGGAAACGAATAAACAACAACAGGAGGACCCTCTGCTATGTGGATTCCTCAATGACTAACAAGGGGTGATTCAGCAGCATCTCAGGGGTGACATACTGGCTCTCCTGGGCGAACTCTCTGATGGGACGCAAGACCGACACCCCCTCTGAAGGCATCTCAACGTTCCAGGAAATTATGGGGTTCCCCGCCCCGACATGAATCCTCTGGTGCCTGTTTAGATCGGCTTTCCTATAGAACCTCTTCCCGCATTCCAGGCACTGGTACGGCTTCTCCCCCGTGTGGATTCTCTGATGGGAAGTGAGGTCCGTGTGCTGGCGGAAGTACTTCCCGCACTCCAGGCACTGGTAAGGTTTCTCGCCGGTGTGGATGCTCTGGTGGCAAGTCAGGTTCTTCTTCTGGCTGAAGCTCTTCCCGCACTCCAGGCACTTGTACCGCTTCTCCCCGGTGTGGATTCTTTGGTGGGTGAGGAGGTTGGACTTGTCGTAGAAGCTCTTCCCGCAGTGGGAGCACATGAAGGGCCTCTCCCCCGTGTGGATCCTCTGGTGGGACGTGTAGCTCGTGATCTGGCTGAAGCTCTTCCCGCACACCAAGCATTTGTACGGCTTCTCGCCGGTGTGGACCCTTTGGTGCCTGGTGAGGTGCGGCTTGTCGTAGAAGCCCTTCCCGCAGTACGAGCAGACGTAGGGCTTCTCCCCCGTGTGGATCCTCTGGTGAGAGGTGAGGCCGAAGCTCTGGTGGAAGCTCTTTCCACACACCAAGCACTGGTACGGCTTCTCGCCCGTGTGGATTCTTTGGTGGATAGCGAGGCTCGACTTGTCGTAGAAGCCCTTTCCGCACTCGGCACATTTGTACGGCCGCTCCCCCGTGTGGATTCTCTGATGCGATGCAAGGTTTGCACGCTGGGTGAAGCTCTTGCCGCATTCTGGGCATTTAAACGGCTTCTCTCCCGTGTGGATTCGCCAGTGAACGTTAAGGTCTGATTTGTGACTGAACCCTTTCCCGCACACCGGGCAGACGTTCCTCTTTGCTCCTTTCTGCTTTTCTTGCTGAATAGGAACTTTGGGGAAGCTGCTGCCCTGCCAATTAACTGATTCGTTCATCCACACCTCCAGCTGATTCCGCTCCTGATTTTTTGGCCCTTCGTGATTCCTGATTTCCTCTTCTGTCTCTTGATACTTGCTCCTTTCCGACGACTCTCTGGATGGTCCCTCCTCATCCTTACTGGCCACCCATCACCTTCTGGAATAAAGGAGAGGAGCCTGGTTAGAAAGGGCGGAAAGCTGATATATAATGAACTGAAGAAAATGTTTAAAATGACATTTGTAAAAAGACCAGAAGCGTTTCTGTTAGGGACTGTAGGACAAGACCTGCCAAGGAAAATAAAGAATTCGTTTATGTATGCTACAACAGCAGCAAGAGTCTTGAAAGCACAAGGATGGAAGAATGAGGAAACCCCGACAAAAGAACAGTGGCAAGAGAAATTGATGAACTATGCAGAACTGGCTAAACTGACATACAAACTGCGAGATAAGGACAACTGTGGCTTCAAAGAAGAACGGGAACTTTTTACAAATTATCTAAAAAGACAACAAAATGAACTGGACTGCTTGGCAGGTTTTGAATAAACATACACAAATTTATTGATTGATAACATGGTAGATAGATAATGTAAGGACTTATAGGATTTTACAGTATGCAGAGAACAACATGTGTTGAGAAATCAGAGAGAGGAGCTGAGGAAAGTCTTGCGGGGGAGGGGAAAATAATGAATATATGTTTTGATATTTTGTTATGTTGAAATTGTTAATAAATTTTTTTTAAAGAAAAAAATGGCGGAAAGCTTTTCATCAAACCAAATTCACTCCTATAGAGAAGAGGCTGCACATATGTGGTTTACTCAATGCACATCAGGTTTATCCAAACCAATGGATTCAAGGTACAGTGGTACCTCTGGATACGCTAGAAAGGAGATTCCGACTAAACCTCAGGAAGAACTTTTTGACAGAGTGGTTTGACTGTGGAACAGTCTCCCTCATGAGGTTGTGGGCTCTCTCCTTCCTTGGGAGGTTTCTAAGCAGAGGTTGGATGGCCAACTGTCATGGAGGCATTGGTTGAGATTCCTGCACTGCTGGGGGTTGGGCTAGAGGACCCTTGTGGTCCTTTCCAACATTCAAGCTTCCTCAAATGAATCCTGGGAACCGTAGCTGATCAAGGGGGCTGGCAACTGTAACTGTCAGAATGGAACGGCTGTTCTCAGGATTCGAGGGAAGTCCTGTGCTTTGAATGTGTGTTTTGAATGCACGTTTTCAATGGATCTGCCCTTAGAGGTGTTGTGTATAATTCAACAGAAGCGGGTTCCTAGACTGTGCTCCCTTCTTTATCATTTAATAAAATTATCTCTTTAAACGAAACTTATTGCTTTAATAAAATTAGAAGTACATCTTCATGCAACACATAGTTGAACTATGGGGCTTGTTCCCACAGGAGGCAGTGATGCACATCAATGTGGATGGCTTTATGGAGGTAAAGGCTATCAATGGCTACTTGCCATGCTGCTGCTGCTTCTAAGTACTAGTTGCTGGAAACAGCAGAGGCTACCTAAACTCGGAGCAAAGATTGATACTTTAAGTGAATTCTTAATTCACCATTTTAACTAATTATTTGAATGTTCAATCTTCCTTGAACTGCATTTCTTGTACACAGGTTATAGACTTATGCACTCAAGGCAATACAGAAACTGCTAAAGTAAAATAATAATATGAAATCCTTTACCCAGCAAGGCCACGTTCCGGGAATTCTCCAGCATGACTTCTCTGTACAATGTTCTTTGGCCTGGATCCAGCAGAGACCACTCATCCTCAGTGAAACACACAGCCACCTCCTCAAAGGACAGGGGACCCTGGAAGAAGAGGAGGAGGAGGAGGAGGAAGAAGAAGAAGGAGAACATGGTGTTCCCCTGTTAACAGGCAAGTCGAAGGAGAACGGTTGTCCTTCACTCCCAAAGGCGGAGAGAGATGTTTGATGTGTGCAGGGGAAGGTAATTTCCCTACAGGGGTGATTTAATATAATATTTTAACAAATTATTGTGCTTTTCCAACTATAAATGCTGGTGTCAAAGCAGTTCATTAATAATAATAATAATAATAATAATAATAATAATAATAATAATAATAATAATTATTATTATTATTATTATTATTATTATTATTATTATTTATTTCACGAAGCTACCAGCATGAGTTTGACCAAACTGCGGGAGGCAGTGGAAGACAGGAGTGCCTGGTGTGCTCTGGTCCAGGGGTCACAAAGAAGCGGACACGACTAAACGGCTAAACAACAACAACAACAATTTATTTATACCCCACCCATCTGGCTGGGTTTTCCCAGCCACTCTGGGCGGCTCCCAACAAAATAATAAAAACATGATAAAACATCAAACATTAAAAACTGGGACATGAAGATACCAGGTAGCTTGACATCTGGCTGGTTGATATTATAATGCACATCAATCTCTGACTTTTGCCTTCTGGGTTTCTGGGGGTTTTCCTGTTGTTATTCTGTCTCTCACAGCTACAATAAACCTACCATTAAAATTATGGACTGGTCATTTCTTCATCAGAGGGCAAACGGCCAAATTCTAGCAGGGGGTCAAATACTTTATCCCCCTCACTGTACACACACAGTTTTGATATCAATCAGTCTCTCCCTGCCTTGCAAATATTTTTCAATGATCCTTTCCTTACCTGAGCCGGCTGCACAGCAGCTGCTTCTGCTCCGCCGTTAAGAGACATTTCAGGGGGTGGCGGTGATGTCATCCCGTTCCCTGTGAAGAGGTGGTGGAGGCAAAATGTGGAAAGCAGTAGTACGTCAGCGAACTGTGGGTGAATTCCAGGCCCCCACAAGAGGAGAGGGGGAGCTGGACTTTCTCCTGGGAACTTTGCACCCATAAGTGTCAACTTTTCCCTTTTCTTGCGAGGAATCCTATTTGGAACAAGGGAATTTCCCTTTAAAAAAGGTAAACGTTGACAGCTATGTGCAGCCCCACCAAGAAGGAATCCTCCCTTACCCGGTAACATGTTCCATGGACGATCCTCTAGGTTGATTACCCCAAATAACGGGACCTGACAGGTACTGGACAGGCCAAACTCTGCCTTGGGGGAATCGATGATCACTTCCAGCACCTGAAACAGAAGCAAGAGTCCCATGCAGGGAAATGGGGAGGAGTTGAGAGAAGCAATACCGACCGAGGGACGGATTCACGCCTCCCTCCCCTAAGTCTCTGCAAAACCCTGCTGAAACCAATGGGGCGGGGGAATGTCTGGGCCTCCCCACCCAGGGCATCGTGGATAACTATCTGGCAATGCCCTGCTCTGAAAACCAGCTGTTGGATACCTCAGGGGAGGAGAAGGCTCTTGTGCCCGTGTCCTGATTGCAGGTTTGCCACAGGCAAAGTCAGATGGCCTTGTCTGACCAGCGGAACAATCGGCTTCTAGAGGTAGTGAAAATTCTCCATTGCAAGGAACTGCATGTCAAAATGCAACCCCTCCTTTTAATCTGGAAATCCGCCATGATGGAATAAGACCGAGCTGCAGAGTTATAAATAGTCATAGGGGGAGGTGAGCCCTTAATGTGTCATTATATTTGTATTTCAGGTTCGATTTGGTCAATCTCCCCTGGAAAGGCTGATGTTTGATGCAACCGGTCAGGGGAAATTCATGAGCAGGCGCCTAGAATTGTTTCATCGGAACTGAGAGAAGATGGCGGCTGCCAGCAGCGAAAAGACTTTTGGATTGATTTGGCGGAAATACCAGCGTGTGGGGAGATGCTGCACGGACAGAGGGGTATCATACACATAAAACCCAGACAGAAACACAGCGTTTTACTTCGACTCGCTTGTGGACACAACTCGGAGGCAGTGAAAGAAGGAAAACAACAGGAAGATTTAAAGGAACTATGAGAAATGACTATCAAAAGCAGCAGAGATATGAGATAATCAGAGCCCCGAACCCGAAGCATGGGAAGTCCCAACAAAAAAATTATAATTTGGCAGAATATTTGGATTATTTTATATGTATAATTTGGAATATTTAATGTGACCTGATTGGATTTTTAAAATGGAAAACTTAATAAAAATGATTTAGAAAAACAAAAAACAACCCCTCCTTAGGTACAATCCCAGCTCCCTAGAACTGTCAGGGTGTTCAACTTTCTCACCTGCTCCTCTTCCTGCTTTCTGTCTTCCTCCCGACTCAGGAGGAAACCTTCGGCCAGGGCCACCGCTTGGGAACTGGTCTCTGGCCCACACTCCCTGACCCAGTTCTCCATCTCCGGGGGGAGGACAGCCAGGAGCTGCTCCAGGATCACTAGGTCCAGCATCTGGGCCTTGGTGTGCCTTTCCGGCTTCAGCCACTGGCGGCAGAGACGGTGGAGTCGACTGCAGGCCACGCGGGGCCCCTCGGCCTCCGGGTAGCGGAAACGCCTGAAGCGCCGGCAGAGAGTGTTTGAACTCACTGCTCCTTCATCCAGGATCTTCCGCCCTCTTCTTTTTTGGACTTCCCCAGAGTTCTCAGCCAAAAATGGGCCATGGCCTTTTCCTGATGCCTCCCTTGCTGGTCCTGGAAGACCCATTTTACCTCTGAGATCCATCTCAGCTCCCTTCCAGACCAAAAAGCCCTCTTGCTGCAAAGTTCCTTCCATTCCCAGGACAAAGGTTTTTTTGAAGAGGCCCCTGATTAGTCTCAAAAGACCTAAAAGGGTGCAATCTTATATGCGTTCACCTAGGAGCGGAGTCCTGTTGAAATCAGCGGGGCTTACTTCTGAGTAGACGCACGCAGGAAATGCACTGCTGGTCTACAGGCAAGCAGGTGAGTTTTAGGCAAAACAGGAGGCTCAAGATTCTCCCTTTGGAAAAGAAAATAAGAATGAGAAGCTGTTTCACGTATTCCGTCATTCATAAATATTCCCTCTGCATTGCTGGGGGTTGGAACAGATGACCATTAGGGTCCCTTCAAACTCTACAGTTCTATGATTAGAACGTGGCCACTGACAACTGGTAGCCATTGACAACCCTCTCTACAAATTTATCCAATTCTCTTTTAACTCTATGCAAGTTGGTGCCTACTTCTTCCTGTGGGAGGGAGTTCCACAGTTTAACTCTGGGCTGTGTGAAAAAGGGCTTCCTTTTATCTGCCCCGGATCTCCCAACATTCACCTTCATTGGACGCCCACGAGTTGCTGGTGTTATAAGAGAGGAAGAACTCGTTCTCTCCTTTCCCACTTTCTCACCCGTTTATAAACTTCTATCACGTCTCCTCCGACTCGCCTTTTCCCCAGACTAAAAAGTCCCAAAGGCTGCAACCTTTCCTTACGTCGCTCCATCCCCTTGAACATTTGAGCTGCCCTTTTCTGAACCTTTCCCAACTCTGCGATATCCTTTTGAAGGTGAGGTGTGACCAGAACCATACACAGGATTACAAACACGGTCGCACCATATATCTGTACAATGGCAAGTCCACTCAGAAGAAAGTGTCTTGTACAATCGCTTCTAGACTGCCCTGAGAGTCCTACCACCAATTTAACAGGATTTTTAACAGGATTTTTAAAAAAATTGCTATTACATTTCTACCCCACCTTTCCTCCAAAGAGCTCAAGGGGATGTACACACTTTGCCCCCTCTCAATTTTTTTCGTACGGAGCCCCCCGGTCGTTTCACAGACTATTGACCGGTACACCACTAATCCGCTGCCGCCAACCAGGTCCTCCCCGGTAAATCACTTAGTCTCATTCAGGTTCTCAAGTTAACAAAGAAGAGTGTCGTTTATTGCAAACACAAATAAACTTTAACTGCATTCCAAACGCTGTTATTCTTTACCTTCTTAGTCTTATTTTATCCTGTTTCTATCTCTTCTACCTCCCCTCACACAAGAACCAACTGCACTAACTGTCCCTCTTATTTCCAACTGCCTGCCAACTGCTTTTCCAACTGCTTTTCCCAACCAACCAACCAACCCACTAAAACCAACCTGGGCTAAGCCCTTTTATAAACAGGTAGGCTCCGCCTCCGGCTTTCCTATTGGTCTGCATATTAACCCTTTCTCCCCCCCCCTCCATACAGACATTTTCAAACGAACGGGCAAACGCCACACCTCAGAACAACCCTGTGGTGTAGGTCAGCCTGACCGACCCAAAGTCACCCAGTGGGATTTGTGGGTGAGCAGGGATTTGAATCCTGATCTCCCATGTCCTGGTCTGGCACACTAACCACTACTCTGCGCCGCCTCTCAGGCAGTGCAGTGTGAGCACTCCCCCAAGTCCAAGAAAATTATTTATACAGAGGTACCTTGGTTCTCAAATGACTTGGTTCCCAAACACCAAAAACCCAGAAGTAAGTGTTCCGGTTTTCGAACATTTTTCGGAAGCTGAACGTCCAATGTGGCTGTCGGCTATTGTTTCCAGGGCGCATGCACCAGTTTTGAGGCTTTTCCGGTTAATTTGTTTTTGTGACTGCGTGGAACCCAGTTCAGCTACTGAATGATTGATTGTGTGACTGCGGAAATGGATAAAAGCGATCATCAGCTCAGGTGAGGGGAAAAAAATTTTAATTTATTGTTTTGTATTGTAAAATTTGTATAAGGAAAATAATAAATTTAAAAAAAATTATTTTTTAAAAAAGAAGAAGCTACGAACATGAGTTTGACCAAACTGCGGGAGCTTAGACCAAACTGGTGTGCTCTGGTCCATGGGGTCACGAAGAGTCGGACACGACTAAACAACAACAACAGCAACAACTAAGAGCTGTTTGAAGGAGGAACGGGCTAACTTTCTTTCGCCCACATGCCAGGGATTCCTCGCCTGGGATTCCCGCGGGGGGTTGGACTGGATAGCCCCTGGGGGTCCCTTCCAGCTCTGTGGACGGTTTAAAACACGCAAAGGAGGAGGCGCCCTGCAAAGCGGGTGCTTCCCCAAAAGGCTTGCCTGGCAGAGTGGCCTTGTCAAGGAGGGAGGGGGGCTTCGGCGAGACGGGGGCGTCTCTTTTCCCGGGAGGGGGGGGGAGCTGGGAAGACTTTCCCCTTTCTCAACTTGCTTCCCAAAGAACCCTTCCTCCCCCCACCCCACCCCCCGTCTCAACCCGGCAAAAAAACCCCATCAGTTCCACCCCCTCCAAAAAAAACCCCCGCACTGCAAACTCACCCGAGACCCCCCACCTCTTCCTTCCTCTCTCTCTGCTTCTATCTCTCTGAGTTGGGGAGGGAGGAGGGCAGGGGAGTGAAGGGAGGAAGTGACGTAACTCTATCTCATTTCCTCCTCTTCCTCTCCCCCCCAAACCCTCTCTAGGACTTTGCAGCACGTGGCTTTAACCCTTGCAGGGACGACCAGCAAGTGGCGCCTGTGCAAATTACCCTCATTTTGTGCTTTTTCTGGTAGCCTTTTTTGTGGGGGTGGGGAGGTGCAAGCCAAGGGTTACGCCGCCGTTTCCTAAAACTTTTCCACCGGCCTGGGTGCCCCGAAAGCCTTATTCAGGATAGGGATATGCAAGAGAATAGCACGAGGAGATTTAAGAGCAGCAGCAGCAATTAACTGCATATTTGTGCCAAATCCAATTTAAATTATTTCGCTTAATTCAAGAAAACTGATGAACTACCACTGTTCAGTAGTGGAAGACGGCAATGTGATTTTATGTGAACTGTGTTGCTTTTATTGTTGTTGTCCGCTCTGAGCCAGGCTTCGGCTGGGGAGAGCGGGCTATAAATAAAATTATTTTATTATTATTGTTGTTGTTGTTGTTGTTGTTGTTGTTGTTACAACAGGAGACTGATAGTGGGATATCGTCGGCTAAGGTCTGGGGTATGCCATGTACAGAAAAGGCTTGCAGGGCATGGAATTCTCTTGTCCGGTAGGACTAAGCCGGAAGCCTTTGGGAAGTTTTGGAGACATCTCATTTAATATAGTAACAGGGCACAGCTGCCACACACCTTGAAAGCAGCCTCGGTAGACGCATGGAATATGTGAAAACAGTGTCACTGATATTATTTATGCTTCCTGTTTTGCCATGGATGTAGCCGGGGGTGGGTGGGGAGGTACAGGGACGTAGGAAGTGGGGGACAGAGGGGGCAGTGAGCCCCGGGTGCCACTCTTGGGGGGGTGACAAGATGGCCCCTGCCTCCCCCCAGCTGTAGAGCGGCCAAAGGCGCACGGCGTCCATATGTGCTGCCTCTCGCACAGCAACCGGACAGGCTGCTGCGTATGCGCACTCCATAAGGGATGCCACACATGCGCAGTCCGTACAGGATGCCACTCACATGGCAGCCTGTATGGTCGCTGTGCGCGAGTGGCATCCTGTACAGAGTGCGCATGTGCGGCATCCCATATGGTCGCTGCACATACACAGTCCATACAGGATGCCGCACATGCACACTCTGTACGGGATGCCCTGCCCTGGGTGTAATAGAGGGTTCCTCCACCACTGGGGAGGCAGCTCCCTCTCCTAAATCAAGTAAAAATAAATAAAAATGCTCAACTAAAAGTAGAAAACACAAAAAGATTTTGACATATTTTTCTGAGCACCTAGGGTCAAAAGAAAGTAATATAAAACAACCGTTGTTGAGACATTTCATTCTGAATCTGCTAGACAAGAGTCAGAGAGAGGATGACAACAGGTGGTTATCCTGCCCCGCCCCACTCCAATATCCTGGTTATGCCTTTCCCGCTTTTTCTGTTCTCATTTCTTATGTTCCTAGCACCGGTGCCAGGCTATTTTGCACCCTAGGCAAGGCTAACTACTTGCGCGCACACACACACCTCACCCCCAAAATTTGCTAACTTCAGTTTTCAGAATCAGGTGTCTTGTAGCGAGTAAATGAAGAGCACAAAACTTGAAATTGCCAAGTTTATTTTAAATTGCCAGTGTAAGTAGCACAGCAAATACCAAAGAAAATGTTCCAGCGCGCAGATCATTTGGAATAACCTTGCAAACTGTGGTGTTAAAATTCAAGGCACTTAAAAAGTTTCCATTTCAGGCACATCAAAATCTCACTCGGCCTGCCAGTTCCTTTTCAGATTTTGTCACCAATTCCTTCAGATCCAGCGCTGGTGCTGTGTGTGCGTGTTCAACAGATGAAATGGCCAAGCCAACTAATCTCTTTAGCAACAATGTTTTTATAAGTTTGAGCGTTGAGAAACTTGAGTTCAAAATACACAAGAAAAGTAAAACGTTGCCTGAAATTTGTAAGCTGTAACAAAAAACTAACCTGTAACCCAGCCCTCCCCAGCCCTGGTACCATCCAGATGTTTGGACTACAACTCCCATCAGACCCTCTTCTTGGGTCCATCTCAGCATCTCTTCCTGGGATGAGGAACGGAGGAGGGCAAAGAGGTGGCCCAAGGAAGAGCTTTCACTGCCAGCTCCTCTTGCCTGGCTGGCCTCAAAGTAGCTTGGGGACAGCATCAGATTTAGGGTGGTGCAGATGATTCCCCAGCCACTCTTGGCAGCTCCTAACAGAATACAGTCATAACTTGGGTTACAGACACTTCAGGTTGCGCTTTTTTGGGTTACGGACCGCCAAAACCCGGAAGTACTGAAACGGGTTACTTCCAGGTTTCAGCGGTCGTGCATGTACAGAAGTGCTCAATTGCGCATGCGCAGAAGAGCCGAATCACAAGCTGTATGTGTGCAGACGCGCCGTTGCAGGTTTCGAACACTGTGGGTTGCGAACATGCATCCTGCATGGATCACGTTCGCAACCCAAGCATCCACTGTATTAAAAGCACAATAAATACATCAAACATTTAAAACCTCCCTAAACAGGAAAAAACTATATATATAAAACATATACAGTGGTACCTCGGGTTAAGAACTTAATTCGTTCCAGAGGTCCGTTCTTAACCTGAAACTGTTTAGCTAATGGGGGCCTCCTGCTGCTGCCACACCGCCAGAGCACAATTTCTGTTCTCATCCTGAAGCAAAGTCCTTAACCTGAGGTAATATTTCTGGGTTAGCGAAGTCTGTAACCTGAAGCGTATGTAACCTGAAGCGTATTTATCCCGAGGTACCACTGTAAACCTATATTTATTTGGGCAGCCCAGGGCCTCCATACACACTGTCCAGGATTACGCTCCGGGGAGGCCACTTCAGGGCTGCCAACAGAGCGGTTGGGCTTCAGCCCTGGAGGCGCACTCCATTGTCTCTTGAGACAGGTGGAGGCCAACAACAACAATTTATTCGTGTGCCTACTCAAAGTTAAGCCCTGGGCAGATGGGTGGTTGAGTTGCCACAACCATGATATGGTGCACTTGAGAGCATGTGCAGAGTGAAATGGGGAGAAAATTGGTGCCTGTTGAGGAGATCTATTTAAAAAACAACTGTACTAAAAGGAATTATTGTGAAATAAGAAATATTTTTTTGGGGGGGTGTCAAAATTTGCCTCCCTTCAGGCTCCATATTGCCAAAGTCTGTTCCTGCTTGGGGTGCCATGGTGGGCAGCCGTGGCAGAGCAGAAAAATCCTTGCCAATGAAAAAGCACCTGGTAAAATGGGCAAAGATCTATAAAAAATATTCAGACCTTTGTTGGAGATGTAAAGCGGAAGGTGGGAACAATGTACCATATGTGGTGGGGGTGTAAGGCGATTAAACAGTTTTGGACCAAGATACATGAAGCGTTGAAAAGAATATTTAAGAGCACAATTCTCAAAAACCCAGGAAGCATATCTGTTAAGCTTAATAACCAACGATATCCCCAAAGATAAAAAGAATATATTCCTCTATGTGACAGCAGCAGCTAGATTACTAGTGGCAAAAAACTGGAAAACAGGAAAAATACCAGAATTATCAGAATGGTGAATTAAGATCTGTGGATTTATGGAGATGGCAAAATTAACGGCTTCCTTTAGGGGCTGCCCCAAGCAAAAAATTAAGAGAGAGTGGGAGTGTGTTGAGATATATATGAAAAAATATGGATATGGAAATTGAGTTTAACATAAACATGAAAGGAAAGACTCGCAAGGATACAAGATGATATTATAAAGGATATCACTATTAAGTATAAATAACTGCTAACACAGCAAGAAACAATAATACAATTGCCAATAAGATCTCACATGGGGGAGGGGAAGTTGGGAGTGGGGGAGGGACGTAGAGGGTGGTACTTGGAAAATTATTGAGGGGGGGGGAGAAGGGAAAAATAGAAAAAGCACCCTGGCGAACAGACCATTGCGGAGTGAAACATCCTCAGGCAGGAACAGGATAGAAAGTTATTTTGGGGATTGTAGGGGTGGTGTGTGTGTGTGTGTGTGTGTGTGTGTGTGTGAGAGAGAGAGAGAGAGAGAGAGAGAACTAGAAGTGTCCTCTAACCCAAGAGGCTGCTAGGGTTTCCCCTCTCACTTCCATAGGGGTCTCCTCAGTCACCAGGTCCAGTGCCCAAGATGTGCAGAGGGAACAGGGTGCTGGTTAGAGAGCTGTCCCCTTTTTGGGGTGGGTGGGGTGGCCTTCTTCCTAAGTCCCCAGGTTCAACCAAGATGTGTATTGGTGGGTGCAGGGATGACCCCCACCAGCTGTCGTTCTTCTGCTGTGGTGGGAAGGTAAATGGCATTTCCGTCCGCTCTGGCTTCCGTCACAGTTTAGCCATGCTGGCTACATGACCCGGAAAGCTGTCTGTGGGCAAACGGCGGCTCCCTCGGCCTGAAAGCAGAGAGCAGTTCTGTACCCCATAGTCAGATTCAACAGGACTTAACCACCCAGGGATCCTTTACCTTTACCTTTTACCTCCACTAAAAACCCATGAAGGGACTCACACTGCTTCTGGGGAAGAGCCCAGAGCTCTCAACTTTCCACCAGTCGAACATGATTATCATGAACCTGTTACAGTGGTACCTCTGGTTGCGAACGGGATCCGTTCCGGAGGCCCGTTCGCAACATGAAAAGAGCACAACCCACAGCGGTGCGTCTGCGCATGCGTGATGGTGACTCGCTGCTTCTGCGCATGCCGTCATTTTGCGCATGCGGCGAAACCCGGAAGTAACCCTTTCCAGTACTTCTGGGTCGCCGCGAGACGTAACCTGAAAGAACGTAACATGAGGTATGACTGTATAACAGAGCGCTAGTGAGATGGACCCCTGCCCAATATTCTTGTTTTATTTATTAGACAATTAATTTGTGAAATATTAACAATATAAGAGGGCTTCAAGATTACACTCTGCATATAAGATGCTCTGAGTCTTCCTTGTTCCTTTATTGCAATTACAATGGGAGTAATGCAGCTGTTCCTATCAAACTAATCTCACCAGCCCTGCTTCCAACTCTCTCTACCAAAGATCAAAAATCATCTAACTCTCATCCCATCCCACCACCAGCACTCCAGATTCACACTCTCCCCCTTCCTAACATTACATTGCATCTTATATTATACCTACTATTGTAAGACGTTATCTGCACGTTTTAAATATGCTGTAAGCTGCCCAGAGTAATAATAATAATAATAATAATAATAATAATAATAATAATAATTACATACAAGTTTATATACAAATACCAGA